TTAAAATGTTACATCGATTCGACTTATCCAGAAAATATAGTCCGAGTCAGGCTTAAAACAAAAAGCTTTTTGTAGATTTCCGAAAAGTCAATCAAATACATGTTCAATATTTTAGTAAGTACAGCTCTGGTAATTAGCTTTTACTTAATTTAGTGGGCTCTGATAATTGGTTGTACAATTTCAGACGAATATCAGATACTGGCTCTCACAATCTTGAACTGTGACTTTATCTGAAGGCGGGTAGATGTTTTTACAATTTTGAAAAACGTTCCCAAAAAGTTTTGAAAGCAAAACATGCTACAAATTTTCCAGACTAGTGCTTCAGCTTGGTAAAGAACTCATCTTCCAAGGTCTTTCGGTGAGTGCAAACGGCTTAATATTCCCAAGCAAATCATATTTATATGAAGAATGGCAGCAAAGTCCAAATTGTTTCATATGAACAAAGAACTCTTGGCATTTATAATTAAGACACGGCTCAACTAGTGATCGACTAGTCTCAGCAATGTATCAAATATTACTCAACAATACCGGCTAAAATCAAAAACATTAAAAAATTAGTTTTAAGGGAATGCCAAGACGTAAAACGATGATATTAATACGCAAATACCTAATCATATTCTTTGGAGTTTTATTGATATTTATTTGGCTAAGTCATAGAGATAAAAAGGATGATCCTAAAAATAGTTTCGAGTCTTTTCCACCCGTATCAAAGGAGATGACTCCGGGCTGGCTAAAGGCAGACTTTATTGCAAGAGAAAAGCAATTGCGCGAAATGGTCCAAAGAGGCAAAATGGCAGCTCGAATTGCCGCAAATCAACAGGAAACAAAAACGGAATCACCCGATGACAATGTTGCTGAGGATGTATTAAACAATTTTGAATTCGAGCGAAGTCCAAGAAAAGAGACAAAACCATCACGATATTTTGTGAACAGTACAAAATGCAAGATGCCCTATGCCGATCCCTTCTCGCGGGAGGTAATGGAGGTATATAATCCAACCAAACTGAAGGTCTGCACGAATACGTCGGATCTCTTTTCTCTGAACTACAACCGTGACACGAATCAGTACAATTTGCATGTCAATAGGGAGGTTATGAGAAAACTGAATCTCCGCGTAGCCAGTTATCGGTGCAACTATCGTGAGGTAACCGGGAGCTTCAAGGAAAATCAGGAACACGACAGCCAGTAAGCCACTTGAATCTTTAACTTGGCATAATCAGCATAATTTCTACAATTGGGTAATTCACTCCATTTAGGGTACATCGGCCTGTCTACTTTGATCAGCAATGCACGCTGCCGCAACACGTACGCGGAATTATTGCCGAGTGTCATGATGCAAGCAATGCTACAAGGATTCTGCAACGGGATGCATTCGCCTTGGTCCATGCAAACAAGAAGAGCGCACGAATAGAAACCCATCCACTGGAACGCCAGCCCAGCGTTATAATCCTCGGATTGGATAGCATGTCGCGCATGAACTTTCAGCGGACAATGCCGGAGACGGCGAAATTCGTAAGGCAAGAAGGCTGGTTTGAAATGGAGGGCTATAACAAGATTGAGGACAGCACTTTACTTAACTTGATGCCTGTGCTGACGGGTCACAAGTTGAATGAATTAAGTAATGTTTGTGATATGCACTCTGAAGGCTGTTTGGACCAGTTGCCTTTGATTTGGAAAGATTACAAAAGCGCTGGCTATGCAACAGCTCTGGGGGAAGATACCATAGATGAAGGTTTATTTGAAATGGGTTTTCCCGGCTTCATTCAGAAACCAGTCGATTATTACCTACGCCCCTTTCTAATAGGCATTAGTCGCTCTATGAACATATATCAAAGGTTTGGTTATCAATACTGTATTGGGCGTCGGCTGAGCATCTCGTATGTGAACGACTTTTGTCTACAGTTTACTTCACGTTTTGCGGAGGAACTGGACCAGCCAATGTTTGGCTTTTTTTGGAGCTGTACATTTACTCATGACTTTTACTTTGCCGCCTCAAGCTTGGATGGGAAATTCGTGGATTACCTGTATCACTTGAAGCAACATAAGCTGTTTGAGAAGTCCATCGTTATACTTATGAGCGATCATGGTGCACGATTTGGCGATCTTTTAGAATTGTCGGATCATTTTCTGGAAGAGCGTTTACCTATGTTGCACATATACTTGCCACCCTGGTTCCGTAACACATATCCCAACTATGCTGAGGCTTTGTATATGAATCGCAATCGCTTGAGCTCAAACTTTGATCTGCATAATACGCTGAGGCACATTCTCCGACTTAACGCCTCGACTCGAGCGGATCTACCACCTCTGGCCAGTTGTCCCAGCAGCCAGTCACTGCTTCATCCTTTGCCAGAGGAGCGCAGCTGTGAGGATGCTTGCATTGGAGAACATTGGTGCACTTGCAACGAGTTCATAAAGCAACCACTAAACGGGGATATGTATTTAATTGGAAAGCAAATTGTATATCATATCAATCGCTGGATGCTGGTACATAACCACAATCATTTATGTCAGCGTATTTTGCTCCAGGATATGGAATATGCGGAAAAGAAGGTGCTGTTCGAGGAAAATGGCAAAGAGACAATGTATGGATCAATTGTCACTTATCGGTTGCGTTTCCGCACCTATCCTGAAGTCGGCAAATTTCAGACCACGATTCGTTATAATCGCGAACTGAAGACCATAGAGGATTTACATGTACCGGATATAAGTCGATTGAATAGTTACCGGAAATATGCAGAATGCATTGACGATAAAATTGCGAAAAAGTTCTGCTTTTGCTATCCCAAAGCAAAATTAGATGGTTTTATGGACAACTGGAAAAATATGAAGTTAACGACTTTAGCGACACTTTAAATCCGTTGGTTAGCTTATTAAATTTGTATGTGTACTTTGTGGCAAAATAAAAATTATTATATTCAGAATAATCCAACCATCTATTCGTGTCCAAGCAATTGACGTTTTTCTGCACTGACTTTTCGATAACTTCACCGTTGTTATCGACATTGACCAACACTTTTTTGTGTCATTTAATTGTGATATGTCTGTCCTATGGCAGCGATAAAGCTGCGACAGTTTTCATTAATTGCAGTGATTTCGCAGTAAACGTTTCTCTTAACAACTTATTTAATTCATTAAAAGTGACAATATGAAAATTGTAAAAACGCGAAAATTCTCATTCAAAAATAATAAGAAAAATAATGCTAAAAATAAAATTTTTTCGGTTTTGAACCGTTCACAGACCAAAGGGTCTTCTGAAGAAGACAACATGGACACTCAGGACTCGAAATTAAAAATAAAGGTTACCGTTAAACTTACCAATGAACTGGACAAGGAAATAGGTTCCGGCATATCATTCATTGCCAAGCCCAAAGCACTGAAGCGTTCACGAGCTACTCAAACAAAAAGGAAGTTTTTAGCAGTCAAAAAGCAAAAACTTGAATCTGACGACGATATAAAACAACACTCTAACCAGAAAGTTAAAAAGGCCAAGTCCATGTACAAAAATATGCAAAAGCATACGGCCAACGAGCAGCCCGATGCCATATTACAAGCCGAGGCTCAGCGTTTACTACAGCTCCAGTCGGAGGCATATAAATACTATTGTCAGAATTCGGGCTTTCGCTTGGCTTCCCTTTTCGATGCAATCAAGCAGGGAAAGCCAATATCATACCCAAATCTTACGCAAACTGCAAACCAGTCGGATAAAATAGGCAAGATCCAGTGCAAAAATATGCAATTAAAGACAATCGACGAGCAGCCTGATGCCATAGTACAAACTGAAGCTCGGCGTTTGCTACAGGTCTATCCGGAAGCCTATAAATCCTACTGCCAGAACTCAGGTTTTCGATTAGCTTCTCTATTCGAAGCAAACAAGCGGGGTAAGCCAATGTCAAGCCCAAATCTTCAAAAAACTTCAACCCGGATGGCTGAAATAGGCAAGTCCCAATGCAAAAATATGCCAAAGGATCAACCAATGGAAACAGTAAACGAGCAGTCGACAGTAATTCAAACTTCGTATGAATCTTACTGCCACAATTCAGGCCTTCGACTGCCTGCAAAGCGGGAAACGCCAATATCATCTCCCACAATTTTAAAGGGGCCAATGCAAAATCGTGATATTTACGACGTTATCCGACAATGGAAGGAGGTAAAGCCTGTATCATTACCAAAAATTCTAAAGACTCCAATGCAGATGCCTAAGGGCAACTCCAAGCGCCAAGTTGTTCGAAATTCGAATCAGCCTGACTACGAACTAAAAACTGAGGCTCAGTCTGAACTACACTTCCAGCCGGATTCGTATAAATCTTACTTTCGAAATTCTGACAGTCGATTGGCTCCACCATTCGCAGCTAATAAGCAGAACGTGGGCGCATTAAAGACTCGATTGATGTTTGATTCCAGAAATGATATTAAAATAACATCTAAATATAAAACTGCAGCGGCCATAACTATGAATAGACCATTGGAAATGATGAGGGGACAGAATCGTATCAAGACTGATCCGAAGTTTCATGTCCCATTCTCAAATCGGCTTATGTTAAAATACAAAGAGCAATACAAGAGCAATAACAACATGTTCAATGAAGCTAAACCATGTCAGCCAATATTACATCGCAAGGGGCCAGAGATTTTCCTGCCTGAAAGCGCTACTTGGCGCTGTTCGGTGCTCTAAATAAATTGGAAAATTATAAATTATAAATAAAAGCAATGCAATAAGCTTTAAATAAAACAAATATTTGTATCAAAACTATTTTAAAAACGGAAATACATATGTTAATGTTATACAAAAAACTATAAATACAAATTGAGTGCAAATATTTGTTGCTTACTTTTAAAAGAAATCAAATAGTATATTTAAAGATCTATATTTACCACTAATTTATTTCCTTTATATGGATTTCTGGTTTGACATTTAAACAAAAAAAAAAAAAACAAAACTTGCAATCAAAGCAAAGGAATTAAGTTTGAAGGGTATTAAATATGAAATGCAGATACGGTCTAGGTATTTTGCACAGATTTAAAAATCTACATTTGGTCGTTCCTTTTATTTATTCATTATAGATTTTAAGGTGTTCTTTTAAATTAAGTTTTATATTAGTTTGTTTTTCTTTCACTCTAAGCTTTTTGCTATTCGTAATGCTACCTTCAATTGTATTGAAACCGTGAAGTGAAGGCACTTACGAGTTATTAAGGTGTATGTCACTGTGTTTATCTACTAAACTTATTCAACTTTGAATGCAATGAAAATAAATTGCCCCTAATTCTTTTTAGCCATTATTAAATACTATGTATATCAAAAACCACCAACTAAGTGGCGCCATGCTATAAAATATTAAATACCAACAAAACAACATTAACAATAGAACTTGGGCTTAACGAATTTCGCTTATAAAAACTATAAAACTCTGTAATAAGATCGTCTTTATCCTATACTCGTCCGATGCTACATATATGAATCTACCGGATAGCGTTCGGCCTCCTCGAGCATATGGCGAAAATCGACGGGTTGAGCAAGCGGCGCTACCGGCCCAGTGCCAGGTCGTCCAGCCACATGTCCGTTCATCATTTGTGTGGGTCTCTTAGCGCTAACCAGAGCACTGCCCCGACTCTTCAGATGGCCATTCATCATGCTAACATGATGACTGATCGTGGGCACCGCGCCCGGCACATTCGTCTCCAGATCGTGCAGTATGGCATCCGTTTGTTCGTTGCGCATCACGTGATTGCCCAGCGTCTCGGAGGCATCCTCGCCTTCAAGTTTATTGGTCAGCTGTTGAATGTGATTCCGTATAAGCCGCTCGAATTCGCGCTGTACGGAGGGACTGTCCGTGTCGCCATCGACCTTAGCGAAAAACGTATATAGTTAATTAACTGACGCTTAACGGGATTTGCCAACTTACAATCTGTAACCGATTGCTGCTGTCCATTGTCTTCAGCATGGGCAAGGTCTGCTCACGGAATAGCTCCAGACGACGTCGAAACGAGGAGACCGTATCGTCTATACGTCCCCGACCCAGCTGTAATTTTGAGCAGTCCAATAGTATGGTGGGTGGACGTTGTTTGTACTAGAATGGAAATCGAATTGAAGTTATTTTTTTTTTATCTATATTGATTATAGTCAGTAAGTCAGCAAGATTTGAATTGTTTCATTTTAGGGCTCTTTATTCCATTCTAATTGTCAATGCCTAGTTGCAAAAGGGTAACTTGCTGGAAAATATTTAGCTGGAAGGCTAGCTAAGAATTTGGCTAATGTTGTTGTCAACTTTAACATCAACATTTTGACATTTACCACCTAAGAGAGTAGCTAATTGACCCACCTTATTTTCAAAGTATTTGACCTGCTGCAGATTGCGTGGATATCCATCAATGATAATGCCCGATTTATCCTGCAGTTGACGTATGTTGTTATCCAGCAGCTGATTCAGCGACTTCTCCGGGGCCATTTCGCCAGCAGCAAGAGCCTCTTTGACGGCATAGCTCTCGGTGTTGGCACGTGGCGCAGTGTCCGTAATGTTGCGCAGTAGACGACCCACGCTGTATCCATAGAAACGAAACTGTTAAAGATCCGGAATCAAGTGTGTTCAGAGCAGGGCTTACCTGATGTGTGACCAGCCCGGATTAAGGCCAACCGCCTTTAAGCACAGTGTGGCCTTGTTACTGCCCGGACCACCAATTACCCAAATAATGGGCGGTATGGTTGGCTCCGGTTCAAAGCTGGCATCCATGCTGTTGCCGGCATGACTGAGCTTCGGCTGCTGGGTGACAACTACGCCGCTGTCGTCATCAGCACTGGTGCCGCCTGTTCTGAGAGTCGCTGCAGCTGTGACCGTATTGGCGGCTATGTGAGATATCACAGCGTTTGTGACATTGCGCTCACCTGGCACAGGTGCGACGACTTGGTCTGTAATGTGAGGCGCTTGGGCTTGACTAGGTGCGGTGTCTACGCTAACTATACTGCCGGGTATATCATGTATCCCTCTGCCCATACCTGTAACTCCATTCAGTATGGCCTCTTGATTCTCGAGCGTGCTCAGTATGTCAAGCACAGCGGTGCGAAAGTCTTTATACACCTCTGTAGGCGCACGCTCGCCATTTACCTGTTAAGTGTAGATGAATATGATTAAAGCCAATTTTTCAGATGTGTAGAATTTATATGCTACTCACGGCCAACAGCATATCGCTTTGATCAAAATAATCAGCGACTGGCATCACATTTTTAAAGAAATTTTCCAATTCCATTTTGGCTAAGGAGAGTACAACATGACCTAATTTAGCGCCATAATCGATTTGTTTCTGTAGCACCGACTGGCGCCAGGATATTAGGATAACGCCATTTACGACTTGTATCTGAAATTAAATAATTGGTTTCATAATTTTTAGCTCAAAAACTTGTATTTCCTATTTCAATTGCGATTGAAGTTTTGTTTAAGCGCTAATAGAATAGTTTTTAATAAGTTTAGTTTATATTTGTTATCAAAAATGATTTTTGCTACATTCTCAAAGTAAACGAACTTGTTTGACATAAAAAATTCGTTTATTCCAGAAGCTCTTTAATAATTGGGCTCATAAATTTCGAAAATCGTGTACAACTTATATTGCTAACATTAACTAAACCTGACCTCTACCTGTAGCATTATGTAAAGCCCAATGTGCCTCTGGAGGCCACTTCAGCCAATTAGCATATACATATGCGTGAGTATAGGTATGTGCATAAGTATATTTTATTGTTATGTGTACGACTCAAAATTCATGGGAATTAGGCCTTAACAAATAAACGTCCACCCGTTTGGCAGCTAATTAGTTCAAATGGTTCAACAGCAATTTGCTGAACAAACACATGAAATTCCCCATCAAAACAAAATAGTCCAAATATGTTTCATAATAAATTCGAGTAAGTCTGTATGTTCGACAATATAAATATATAAATAAATATTGCTTAAGATTATGTAATTGGGGAATTACCTTCTCGGAATACTCGACAACGTCGCGCATGGAACGTGGATATCCAGATATTAGGTATGCTTTGGCAGCTGGAGCCATTTTCATTTCCAACATCAACACCTCGGTGACTGTTTTCGACGATAGTTGCGAAAAGTCTTGCATATCTGCAATTTAATTGTCATCAATTAAAATTAAATATATTTATTGTAAAATAGCGAAAGTTCAAACTAAATTCCTGTTTAAGATTGGTTTGAACGCAGTTATTGGCTTAAATTTTGGCCTAAAAATATGATCTGAATTAAAAATTGGCATCTGCCTAATTAGTTCAAGAAAACTAAATGCTATTTAATGCATCTTAATTATTATATATAAAATATATAACAAATATAGATTGCCTTTCGGGTTTTGGTTCGACTGTTTCATGGACAACTCTTCTGGCTTAGGATTCGGCTCACAGAATAACTTCAGCTCGCTTTTAAACCTGTTTGCGATTATCCGATCCCTTAAGTATATGTATTCCACATCAGCATCAACATCCGAGTATTTCTTTCTTTGTTTCTATGCAAATTAGTTGATCAGTTTTAAAGCTTTCGTCTTCAAACTTAGTCAGAACTCAGCATTATCGAACTGCACTCTCCATCATTCTCAGATATTTCCAAATAGGGAAATGTATACAAGGGTGTTACATCTTCCGAAGATATCCCTACTTATTCTATTTTAATATGTCTTATTCTTGTTTTCGTTGCATTCTAATTGTGACTTAAATGTTTTTTGTCAAATAACTGGCCTTTACCATTCTTTAGATGTAACAATTTCTTTGTAGCCAGAAACGTCAAATGCGGCTGCAATATGTGCAGGCCTATGGCTTATTATTTTTTGAAAATGATTTGATGGAAAGACGGAACTCGAATGATAGAAGAATGATCTTGATTTCCTTTATGGTTGTTTTTAATTCATTTAAATAATTTAATAATATAGATATAGAAATATGTATAATGAATTGAATTTGTTGAAAGCAAAAACAAAAACTTACCATTTCCCATTGCATATTGCTGCAGCAGATCCATCATATTGATGTGCGTAACACCGCGTCGCTCCTGCATGAATGTATCGCAATGGGTGACCTTGCCACTACCTGGGCCGCCTAAAACAAATATCACTGGCACCTTGGGCGGATCGAATTTGATCTTTCCAGCATTTTGCATATCGATAGCAGCGATGTTGCCCGAACCGAGCCGCCCATTGCCGTTCAGTGCCATAACGCTGCCAGGTCCGGCATTTGGGCCATTTTGATTCCGTGTATGATTCCAATCGTTGCCTGGTTCGCCGGTATCTTGTGCCGCGCTGGCATCTAAAATATCATTTTCAAACATAATTCGATTTGATGGGCTACACACAAGGCCCAAAGCAACAGTTGAGCGGGGCTGGGACATTAACAAAACCGGAAACCGGATGTGCTGCCAAGTTAGCGCCCCGCCTTGTTACGTGCCAAACGGCATTAGCGCAATTCCTGCCACAGACCGGAAGCAATTTGTTGGGGGGTAGGAAATTAACTGTACAATGCATATCATTAAAATATATGTTTAACAATTATTTAACTGCAGACTCGGCGCCAGCCTGCGTCATTCTAGCCCGATTCGTATATATGTGTTATGTATTTTCATTCATGGAAAATCAGCTGCGCAAAAGCGTTGCCTACCCTCGACCGCAACGCCAACAATTTCGCGTATTTCCAGTGGGGTCTGCGATTAGAACTGGCTCTCAGGCTTTACAGCTCGTGTATTCTACATTCCTGTGACATTTTTTTTTCTTCTATTGATTTTCCTGCAGTTCTATTTAATTGACATGTTGTTTTGTTATTGTTGCTATCCCTTTTCAGAGCACATTAAGCGATTTGCCTTGTTTTGCTGTCTCTCTTATTTTTTTGGATTTGTTTTTGTATGCGTTTCGGATTTTTATATTAGTTTGTTGCCTGTTTGATGGTCAACGAACATGTCCAAGGACCTATCGACGAGGCCGTGCTTAACACAAGCGCCCACCACAAATTACAGCGTTTGTGCAAGGTCCTTTGAAATATTTTGTCAAAGCGTTTTGTATATTCAAGTGTTTTCCACAACAGATTGAGACACATTATTGGCTTTAGAGCTTTAGAAGCAGCGCAAATTAAATACAAATTGTGCTTAAATAACTTCATCATTTCACGTTTGTCTTTCTGTGCTATGCACCGACAATAACTTAACCATGGACTAAAGGAAAATTAAACGAAAAATGCAATTTGATTGCTTAAAAACAAAGCTTTTTCTTGTTTGCTCTCTTAAAAGTTTTTATTACCCTTAAACTACACAAGCAGATAATGCTACTGTTCAACCCAAATATGAGAAATATTAATATGTAAGCAAAATAAAATTATAAGACCGAACTAACCTACTTCAAAATGAGAATATATTTTTTTTAGACTTTTCTAAGATCTGGAGAAAAAAATATATATTTATTATTCTATTATTTTCTTAAAAAATTAAAGCCCTTAAAAAGAACTCCAGCAGGGTAGATATATATCTATTTAAAGAGTGCACTCAACCATATAAATATATATTTTTCTTGTACTTAGGTGCGCTCTTTAACCTTTAGCCTAATAAAATGTCAGGCACTTGACTTCTACTTATCAAAATATTTTTAAAGCTTCTTCAAGTAAGTCATATTAAACACGTCGCATGTAGAATAGTTCTGTACATTATTTTCTTTTTGGACTTTTTTTTTTGCTTTTTTCGGTTATATGTTTATTCTACATTCCGGCTGTTTGTTTTGACTGTTGCTTTGGGCCGGCTGTGTTATCGGAGGCCTGTTGGACAAAAGTTGAATTTTTACAGCTACCGCATTGCTTACCTGTGTCTAAACAAATACCCATTATCCATTCGGTGGCCAGTATAGCTGAATTTTCGCAATGTCTTTTGCCTGGTTTTCCACTCGTGCCCCACTCAATTAACGCATATATTGAGAGAGGGTGAGAGTTCAGTGCGCTTGGTTATGAAAATCAGATTGGAACTTTCCACCAACGTTTCAACTATATGCACTCTTTATTTTTCGCTAGACTCTGTTTTCTTTTATATTTTTTTGTTTTTTTATTTTTTAGAACTTTATGTTGAATATATTTTTTTGTATTTGTTACTGTATGTGGTTCCGCTCTTTTGGTATCTCTGGGCGACACGTTAACGTTCGTTGGCAACACGCACAGGAAAATTGTTTACTACATAGCGCCGGTTATTTCAGGCTTGGCCGTTACCATAGCCCATAAAACGTAATATTGCCTCTGATTTGTGACTGCGATTGCGGTACTGTGTAGTACAAATATATGCAGGTTCTGCTGCCCGAACGTCCGAAACGAGACTGAATTTCAAATATGACAAATGGTTCGGTTTTTACCAGCTACAATCCTCGGCAAATGGTCAGTTAGGCAGGCGCGCGCGTTTCCAATTAATGAATACTTTATGAGTTCCAGTCGTTCATATGATTCACAATGTATTCGTATGGGTTAACTAAGTATTATATGTGAACAGGCGGCATAGACCAATGTTGAATTTGACCGGCAGTTTGTCATAGCCCCAGCACTGGAAAGTTGTTTCTCTATCCGATGCCGTGCGCCGTTCTGGGCCTGTGCCTGGGCCGCCGTTTGTTTATGCAATCCAAACAATGTCCTGGCCAGCCTGGTGCGTTCTCACTAATCTTTCAGGTTCTTTTGCTATTTCTGTTGATGCTCCTGTCATATTGTTGCCCTGCTGCCATCCTGTCGACATCGTTGATTATGCCTGTCGTTTTTGGTGTAAATAAGACCTCTGACTTGCAGCTGTTCATTTGGTTAGCGCAGCTCAAGTCACACAAATACTACAGTTTGCTGCTTCAAATAATGCCCAGCATAACTTTAGCTTAAAATTTTTTAGTATTTATCTGACTTTAAATCTTATACTAATTCTAAAGTTAGCAATTAAAATCAATTAAAACTCCTCAAAGCACATATAAATATTAATTACCTGCAACTGTTAAAATCTGTCAAATTTGACAGTATTTCAATAATCAATTAAAAGCTTAATTTCGAAATATCAATCTCAAAAAGCCTCGTACATTATTAATTTAAGCTGATTATTTTAAACCTAGTCAAATGCTCTGTGCTGTACATAAAATGTTCACCTTTCATACGTGCAAACCATTCATACTTAGTTCTGATTGGTTTGGATGCGTTTTTGATGGATAGAAAATTGCACAATTATCGTCATAATCTAAATTGTTAAATCCGGTAGGGGAAACTATGGCGGGTGTCTCTGAAATGAGTAAAAGTCGAAAACTGATGGGTGCATGCTAGGTGCAAGAGATTTTCAATTAATATTTCAATCAATTGATTGCGTGTAATTATACTGTAGGTTTTACAGCGAAAATAAAATAGAAACGTTGAGTTTGGCATTGACAGTTGACAGCTGTCGAAATTTCCAAAGTAGATACATATGTTCAATTAAATTTCTATTGATTTTGTTTGGCCTAATGATGAGAGAAAACAAAGCGCGGGTCAATAGGCACGACAAGGACACAAAAAAGAAGTTCAAAGCTGAAGGAAATTTCATATCGATCAAAATGCTCACATATATCGACCCGGTGCCCTAAACAGATGCGTCGCCTAATTTGCGTCTAACACTGGAACTCGTGACATGCCATGTCCGGCCGTTGGCAAGGACAATAACGACAAATGAGATTGGCACACACACTCACACACGCACACACACACGACCACACACACCTACTGGGCAGGACAATCAGGCTAGCTACTCTGATTTTATTTTTTTATTAGTAGGTCCTCAAATTTATAGCATATGCTTTGTCGCAACCATTGACCACAAATCATGAACCAGCGCAGTGTCATCACCAGCATTGGGTGTGTCTAGCAGCACGTGTGTTTCTCGTCCTTGAGCTCCTGTTGGGCGTTTGGTTATTAAATGTTTTTGGAAACTTAATTAAGGTTATAGCCAGCAGTAAGAATTATAACAACAACAACGACAGGGACGGCAAGCAGAGTTTAATGCCGCCGTCTAGCTGGCTCAATTGATTCCCCAATTACATTTCTGCCGGGGGGTTAGAACCCTACCAAACATACGTGCTCCTGGGTTTAAGGGACACTGCGTGTGAATGTGTTGAAAAGGTCACATTAAAGGTAATCCAAAAATTTAACGATGCATATACGGGTTTTTTTTTTTTGGTTTGCGATTACCTCTGACCACATTGCTCTGGGGTTAAACTTTTACCAGTCGAATTCTCTTTCGATCACCTACGAGTTATTTTGATCAAACTTTGTTCAGGTTTAATTATGCTGGGCATGGGCATCAAATCTTACTTATTTTCTTGTTGTTATTCACATTTGTTTTTGTTTAAATAAAAATAAGTAAATTGAAATACTTGAAATAAAAATAAACGGTTATTTAGCACACTTCGTAGATAAAGTACTGAATTTGTATTTACTTTCTATGATTAATTTTCGCACCGGATTTCGGCTGGGTTAGTACTTGAATTATTTACGAAAGTCCTAAGTTTTTCGTTGAGTGTAAAGCATTTATCACTGCAGGATATCTGACTTTCTACAACTCTTACTTATTTCAATACGAGAAATCTTTCGAAAATTGAATTTTAATATTGCCAAACAAATGTCACATATGATATGCGTCTGCTGGGGTATTTGGACTCCGATTTAAACACTCTTACTATGTGTCAAGTAATTATATGCTATGGGTAATTTTATTGTTACACAAAGTGTACTATAAATAGTTATGGCTCAACACGTGTTGTCCTTGTGATTGATTACTCTATCAAGATAATTTGGGCTAATGCCGCCATTCAAAGGTGATTAGGACCTTGTGTAAAATATTTACACAGGCTCTCACCCATATCTCGGGGTTTACGCAGTTTGTTAAGCAACTTTCAGCAGCTTTGCTGTCGATATCGAAGTCCTTCAGCCAATTACTCAATTGCTTTATTGTTTTTCTAGGGGACATAATTTGCTTTTTGTTGTTGCTTTTATTTTTCCCGTTTTCACATATTAGGTGCAGACAAACTTTTGCCGCCTATCATTTAACCTTCCCGCAATATGTCCCCGTATTTAAATTAATATATGATTTGCAACTGTAAAGTTCCCAAGAGCTAATATGACAATATGGTTAAACTGACCCTTCGGGGCCTTAGGTGGGAGGACCTTTATTATTTTATGGAATTTTTAATGGATTTTTGGGTTCTTTCACTTGTATGTAAATGTTGATCATGCAAGGACAAAGCGAAAGTTTTCAAGGATACATGTCTAAGCCCCAATGCCAACTTCGGAGTAAGCAAGCACATACCCTAGCATTTAAGGAAATTGGATGTAAATAGAGTACAAGTCTAAACAACCAAGAATACATTTTTAAGACTAGTTAGAAGTATAGAAATAGTATCTTAGGGTATAAAATGCATGTTGCACTAGGTAGTTCAATTTAAAAATTCCACATTCTACATTTATCCATATTGAAATTTATTTGCTTAAAATTAGCTAGAATTTAATATAATATCACTGGGTTAATATTCTACTGTACACTTTGACTAAAGTTGCAAAACATAGCCTAGGCAGCATTCAGATTATAGCTAATTGCACACTTGCCGGATAGAAATATTTTTTATTTTTATTTTTATTTTTTTTAAATAAATGAAGTTTTTAGCCAAGCTCAGAATATTTTTTTGCTATCCAATAATTTTACCACAAAATCTCGCAACGTTTTACATATTTGGCCAGATGTCTAACAGGTGTGAGCACAGCTTAACTCTTTGGCTTCTGCTCTCCAGCACTGGGAGAATATGCCTGATTCTCGTAGCCCGCATAGTTACCCAGCACCATGGATATGCGGGAGGGTGAATGCTGTATGCCATTGGGTGTTGCCAGTGTGTCACTGGCAGCCTTGCCAGACTGCTTGCTGGTGGTGGGCAGCACAAAGCTGCCCTGGCGGCAGCTACGTGAGAGAAATAGTCGCAGCTTGAAGAAAGCAAAGAGCAGCGCATAGATGCAACACGAGAGCACCAAGACGCCCAAAACCGTAATAAACGCATTTTGAGGCTGATTCCAGTCAATGACATGATAGATATACGGTTTTCCCTTCCTATTAAGTGGAGAGTGCAAATAGTATACAATTACTATGGGCAACTTGAGTTGGAATCGTTAACTCACTTGTTGATGCCGCCGGCCAGTTGATATATGTACGAGAATATGGCATAGATAATGCCGAACAATACTGGCAGAAATACGTGCAGCAATCGCAACGGATGTGCCACAATCCACAGATCAATGAACATGCAAATGGAGTTGAATGCATGGGTGAGTACATTTGTGGCATCCAAAGTACTTTCATTGGCTGCAATCCAAACAGAGAAAACAGAATGGGATAACATTGGGTTGGGTTTACCTATAAAAATAAAAATCAAGCACTTGCCATCGTAGAGTATGCTCCAGTAGATAATTGTGATGACAATCGATAAGACTAGCGTAATAATATGCATGCTCCAGTAAATCCGAAAAGGGCTCGTCCAGGCCTGCATATTGAGCAGCTTATCTATGGATTATGAAATGAAAACCAATTAAAATTAAGTCCGAAATTTAAAAAATATATTTTATAGAAATTTATGCTTCTGTAGATCTTCTAATTAATATTTTCATTGGTTAATCCGTCAGTTTTTATTTTGAATTATTTTTTTATTCTTAAAATTATTGTTTTTAATAAATAAAAGCGTTGTCGTGGAGTATGCTCGACTACAAAATTCCCTGTTCCCCTTAAAAACTTACCCGCGTATTCTGGATGATAATGCCATATGGTCACAAGTATAGCACCAAGTAAATTAGTTAGCATACACATCCAAATGCCCCAATTGGTCATATAGATGAAATATAGCCAATAGCAGGACTCATCATCGGATCGCGGCCACATGGACTCAATGACAACGGCGATGAAGAAGAGAGCCATGAACCAGCGATAGAACAAATATACCATGCTCTTTGTACAGGTCTGCCACTGTAATTTAGAATAACTAACTATGAATACTAAGTCGTACGACTATATTAGATATATGTACTTATATATATGTATGTGTGTGTACCAGCTGGGTGTATTAGTCTATCAGCCCCATGATACTTAATACACCGAGTAGCAGAACGTGGTGTAGGGCGGGCCAGCGAGCAGTTTTGTTGTACCTGGCGCCACAAACAATGCATGGCAATATACAGTTAGTAGCTGTTTGCCGCTTATTAATATTTCAAAAGTTTAATTTACAATGCTAGTACAAGCGGTTGTCTAACTACACAACCACCCAACCAAACAACAGAACTCG